AAGCTACTCATCAAATAACTAATTTATCATGTGGATTTGAGAGCTATTTTGCCGAATTCGCTTTGGAATTCGGAAGTTTCCAAACTTTTGACGCGCCATTTCTTATAAAAATTCGTATTTTTCAAATGCGATTTCAGTTTTCAAAAAATCATGTTACCCATCGTAATCTACACTTGATTCTGAATATAATATGTGAATTCGGGACAATTTCATTGTCTATTGGCTACGCTAGATCAAAAATAAAAAAGTTTCCAAACTTTTGACCGCTACTGTATGTATGTATATGCAGGTATAATGGTGCTACATTTGGGGGGGTCAGTGGCCTAAAAAGGAGGCGAATGCAATGGCCGGCCAACATTTGCAAGCCGCTGGTGCGGGACGGCTCCGGATACCAACTTAGTGGGTCCGCCAACTTCTCCTGGGGCCATATAATAGGGAAAAGGTCTATTTTCAATATAAAAGGAAATCAAGGCAAACATAACTTAAGGTTTTGAGACGTGATTTCAGGTAGGTTCTCCAATAATCAATGTATACTTCCGAATGGTCAAGTGTACGGTAGAGCATATCGTAAGGAATTCCGAATGATGACTGACGACGAACGCCTCAGGTTTGCCGCAGTTACACATACTCTCCCCTTCAAAAAGCGAGAAAGTGTCGGGTGCAGACCATACACCACAAGTGACGACGGCCTTCACAAAATGTTAATGTTTTCTGCCAATGAAATGATTAGCCTGTTGCAGTTGTATTCTATCGATTGTCACTAATTACAACTATCATTTACCAGAAATCAGCTATCACTATGAACAACTTCTAACCAGATTTACTTGGAGGCCGTCGTCAGTTGTGGTGTTTGGTCTGCACCCGACACTTTCTCGCTTTTTGAAGGGGAGGTTATATGTATTTGCAATCATGAAATTTCTAAATGCTGTATTCCAGATTCCGCAACGCTATGTGGGGTATTCGTAGCACGCAGTATTTGGCCCTGTCGAGACTGCATTCCAGCTACGTGACATCACCAGCTGCTCATTCTGGACCAGCGTTCCTTCCATGGCATCGAGAGTTCATTAAAAGGTTTGCTCTGAGTCTCTTGCAGTTTTGCTTTTACAGAATCTTCCACATAGAAATACATATTTTGCCCTGTCCAAAAAATAAGGGTCATATTAATGGCCAGTAGGAGTACTACTGTAAAATGGGAATCCGGAGAGATAATTGACATTGGAATTCCCTCCATCATAGTAGTTGACTTCGCCCGCAGCCAGGGTCAACGGTCGCGTGGGGACAAATTTAAAGAATTGACTCCCCCCTTCCCTTCTAGAGGGCCTCGATACGACCCCCCACCCAGCACCCATTTGTTTGTGTCTATGTGTATATGATTACGTGACTACTTGAACTCTCCCCTGTATTCTCTGCCGCGAAAGGCCATAGCGCAGACGATTAGAGAACGGCGCCTGGCTCGGCTCCAAATCCCAAACAGGGAGGTGAGAACTCTAGGACTAAGCCTTGGAGGAAGGATGGACTCCGGATTGGATAAGCCAATTAATTCTTGGCGAAGTTTGATTGTATCAGATCACAGTAATCATAAGCCGCTGTTAAAGCGAGAGAGCGCAGGCGAGAGCATCAAATCGCGGCTGGCCTCTGCAATCGTGATAGGAGTCATGTGCGAGTTTTAGCAGACCGAAACTTTGCTCTGCCCTGCCGAGTCTCGAATTACAGCGCGGGAGCGGCAAAAATCTGGGCCCTGCTCCCTTGACAAGCGCATCCGGCGCACGCGCGCAATATTACCCCGACCCAGTGCCGATAGACCAGGCGGACAATAATTTTGGGTGCCCCCCAGCGAGACCCGTCGCGCGGCAGAGAAGGCAGAGTCGGCGGCCGCACGTTGGCATAAGCAGATGTACGCCAGCGAATTGCTACTGCGCGTGCCTGCGACTGCCGCAGTGAGTGCCCAGAGTTCTCCAGTGGGACAACGGTCCGTATTGTAAAGGCAGGACTTTGACGTGAAATCCCTTAAGTGACGTTACCACGAACGACTTGGATGTACACACGGGCGTGAGTTTTCCACCTGGATCTTCGAACTCTCCCTCTGGTCCCGTTACGTGTCGCACCTTCCACTGCTCGCGTGCAGGTTCTCTCTCAAATATCACTTAGTTTTAGAGACCGCAACGTGGTTTCATCTCCTGCTCTCTAGCATACACGTGAGCTAGTTATACGAAGATTATCATATTGATTTCCCGACCTAGGTACACGTAGCTGGAGCATTCGGTGATGTTCGTTCCGTTGAGCGTGAATGGGGCATCAGGAACCAATCCGTTTCTCATAAACATCGTCTTCGTTAGGTTCAGCTGCAGACCAACCTTACCACAGGCGCAGTCGAAATCAGCCAGCATTCGCTCCGCTTGCTGAGAGGCGTGAGACAAAGCGGCATCTTGTACTCTCGTGAAACTTCAATGAGTCTTGTAACCGTGTGGATATGGTCGATCGTGCTGAACCCTCTTCGAAACCCTGCTTGCTCGCATGGCTGTCCTTCATCCAGTATTCTGCCGATCCTGTTGAGGATGACTCGAGTGAATAGCTTGTAGATTACAGACAGCAGGCAGATTGGGCGATAGTTGCCAATGTCGTCCAGGTCTCCCTTCTTGTACAGCAACACGGTCCTGCTGGTTTTCCACGGAGTGGGTACCTTGCATTCCGACAGGTAGCGCGTGAAGAGTCGAGCCAGAGTTTTGATGATGACTGGCGGCGCATTCTTCAGATGTTCCGGTTTGACCCTGTCGAGACCGGGTGCTGTACGATTCTTCACCGACTTGATGGCGTGTCGGACTTCGGAAGAGAGTACTGAGGGGACGACGTATCCATCCTGTTGCAGTTGATAAGTGGGCAGATGGACATGGCTATCGAAGAGATCCGAGTAGAAGTCGTGGATGACTTTCTCCATTGCCCTTCGGGATGCAGTAACTGTTCCATCCGGACGTCGGAGGCAGGTCATCTTGGTCTTGTAGCTGGCAAAGCTTCGGCGGGCATTGCGGATGCTCCTCCCAGCCTCTGCTGCTTCAGCTAATACTGCTGCTCTTCGCTCCTTGAGATCTTCCTTTATCGCCTCTCTGCATAGCTTCGCAAGCTCGGACGTGAGTTGGTGATTGCCTGCAGCTCGTGCGGCTCCACGTTGGCGTATCAGCTCGAGAGTTTCCGTAGACAGACGTCCTTTTGGTGACTTGCAAACTCTCTGCCTTCCTGCCACTCTCGTGAAGGTGTTCAACGAGCCGATGATATTCCTCGTCGATGTTCTCGATAACGGAATCCTCCCATAAGCTGACAAGAGAAGTGAAGTGATCCCAGTTGATGACTGTCCTGGGGCTTCGCTTCCTGAACTTCGAGGCTCTCTCAACACGCATCGAAAAGTGGACTTGGTCCGGTGTAGAACTTCGGAACAACAGCGACGTCGGTCAGGCAAAACCTTCGATTGAAGATGATGTGGTCTATCTCGTTATGGAACTGTCCATCAGGTGACTCCCAAGTCCAACGAAGGTGAGAGGGCTTTTGGAACTGCGAGTTACCATGGATGGTGTTGGTCGACATGATAAACTCAGACAGTCTTTCGCCCTGCTCATTCCAATCCATTCCGTGAGTACCGATGTGAAGTTCTTCAGCCGTTCTTCTCGGGCCAATCTTGGCGTTGAAGTCGCCGACGATGACCTTGAAGAAGGTATGATCTTCCTTGTAGAACTTCTCCAATTCCATATAAAATCAAAAAAAAAATTAGGCTTT